GTAAACTCTTCCCTCTGCAAACTCCTTCAGACATTCCTGGGTGAGTGCTTTTATTCTATGCCTCGACCTGGGAGACGAGCAGCAGTCTAAAACTCTTCAGTTTCGAGAGAAGCATGCACGGATTCTCCACGGTATGCTCCTAATCTCTGAGGGCCAACAAAAAAAATCTCCTAATTATGAGAGTGTTATTGAACAGATCCTAGTTACAGGCATGCTATTGTCCTTGTGTTTTAGTTTGTTTCCTCAAATCTGGGGATCATTTTTTTTTGTGACCAATACAACTTCCAATTCTCAGTTTTGAATGCTAAATACCAACTTGGCTCCACACATGGGAGCTGTTACTCACCGTGTAACAGCAGTGCTCATTAATGATGACCCTGTTAGAGAAAGTTTCATTGTAGGCTTCTATGTGCAAAGTTCGGTCTCGCCTGTTCAAGGAATTCTTCTGGACAAAGTAAACATAATCTACTCCTGCAATCTAAGAGAGATTACCAGAGACTGGTCAGGAACACCATTACTGTGGGTTGATTTCATAGCTAAAACCATTTCAACATCCGATTACCTTTTTCAGCAATCGTGGTGCATCTATATCCAGTTTACAACGTCTTTCAATGACATGTACAGCTCCATCCTCACTCTTGAATTCATTTACAGTGTCACTAGCTACAAACATCGGGATGAGGGGACAGGTAGGGAACCTTTTTTCATACGCCTGCAAGATAGAAAGGGAAAGAAAGAACAATAGCTTAAAAAAAGAAAAATAGGTTCTCTAGTGGGCTTCTCACTGCTGTGTTTATAGGTGCCACCAACCCATTGCATTAGTCACATCCATTGTATGGGAACAGCAGGACCTTGTCACCCCATTTTTTTGCATTTAACCATCACTTACAAAGACAGTCTTGGCAGCAAGTTTCATTGCAAACCACGTCCTTTTCTTTTGTGTCCCTGTTGCAAGATATTTAGCAGAATTTGCAGATTTATTGGAACCTGACAGGACCACACTATGAGCACTTCTGCTATGGCCTTAAACTTACAGTCTTCTGGGCTGTCAACCATGTGCCTTAACACCTGTGCCACCCCAGCCCCTGCAAACCATGCAATGGGGTGTTCCATGTAAACTCCTGCTTGGGATGTGGAATAAATCAGTGTCTTAAGTCAAAATATAAAACTGTGCTGAAGAACTTTTCTTCCCCCAGAAGGTAGTAGGCCACAATCGGCAGTCACCATACATTTAATAACAAGGAACACAAGGCCTTAAAAACACCAGCTCCAAACCAATGATGGGCCAAATTAAAAATACCCACTGCATAATTATTGGGGTTTCATTGAAGTGGCATGACAGTTTCCACATATTTTCCAAATACCTAATGCATAGGTTTGGGACCTCTCTCTTTCACTAACGGCTTTTCCCAGGTACACAGATGACTGCTAATTATTTCAGCATACCACTTCTTAGCCTGACTGTGTGCATCTTTAAATGAGCACAGCCACCACTGAAAAATTACTGTAAGTCACTTAAACCTTTTTAAAAAAATTGACCTATATTACCTTCCATATCAGCCTGTTACTATTTGGACACCAACACCCCCCAATTTAACTCAAACTTATAGTGATATACTTCTGCTGATCTTTGGATATTTAAATAGCTTCTTGTTTTACAAAATAGACAGTACTACCTGCAGGTAGGGCAGCAGCCCTTAAAAATTTGGGCAGGAAAATTCATTGTCTGTGTGTTATGGAAAATATTTGGAACAGAAGAGAGGGTTCAGGGAAGACAAGCAGCAGTATTAATGAACACTGGATTTGGTTAGTTATCCTGGTTCTCATTCCCAATACAGTTTCTGGTTTGTTTTCTTCTTTTTTTAAATGCGAGTTCCTACAGTAAAACTCCTTTTTTTTTTTTTTTTTTTTTTGGGGAAAAATTT